ATATATATATATATATATAAATGCTTTTCTTTAGAGGCTACAGTCTTAAGTGATACATTTTCAAAAATCATTGCTAAATAGTAACGATTAGTCTTAAGTTTGAGGTCTTTGGATATTTGTCTTATGATCAGTATGCTTTTAAAACTCCACCCAGGTTTCAAAGTTTGTGATAACTTGTTTTTTATGATAATGAATGATACCCTTGAAATGTTTGTTACTTACTGATTATATGTACTTTGTTCTGTTGTACTCTGTTCTTTGTACTAGACTGTTCTCTGGATAAAACTTATCACCAACATATTACAATTACAATGATTGACTGGGATGTACGGATATTTATCAGATTTAGTACAATCAGAGTAGTAACGGACGTTACTAAAGTAACGACTTTATGTTGCAGCAATAAACGGGAAATATATGTATAAGTACTTATCAAACTATTTTATAAACACATAGAAAATAGTTCTTTACATAAACAAAACCAAAACGAAGAGTAATATAAATGGTGATGTACATAATGTTAAGCATTTTAATTAACATTTAATCATCTGTAACGTCATGTCATATACATGGGCCAGTAGTTAGCTTTCTGATCATACACAATCCCAAGTTACCGCTCGAAAAGAACAAGTAATTACCTAAGTTTTGGTACACAGTTGTGTTTAGCAACAAAGTAGTAGTGCCATCATAATCTATTTACTTCTAATACTTATCGCTCTAAATTCAATAATAAACAACTGACTGAAGTTTTCCTGAGGTATTGTTTAAATTATATCATAAAATATAGTTGTACACAGCATTACACAAAGTTAGTTCTCTAGACCAGCGTTTCTCAGCCTTTTCGAAACCACGGACCGGCTCGTTTCCTATCTTAACATTTGTAGACCAAGTATAACGAAAAAAAACCATTACGATTTATGAGTGAATAATTCGTAAGTTTTTAATTGTTTGTTTGTTTTCGTAAAGTGGCTATGATGGACCAGTGGTTGATCTAAACCTCCATCTTATCTAGAAATTAGATGAGTTATGGGGAGTTTTATGGCCAATTCTGAATTAATTAAATAAATGCCTTTGGCCAAACAAATAGTCAAGGAAATTTAGCGGCAGTTAAAAACTAGGGAAAACTTGTTTCGAAATCTGTAAACTAATATAACATTTCAGTAATAAATGTTTTGTAAGTCCCATATCAATAGCAAAGCTGTGAATATTTCTGAATTAAAAAAACTTAACTTTACAAATGTTTCGCAGATTGGAGAGAGAGAGAATTAGGAAAATACATGACTGAAACTGAATGCTGGTTTTGGATGTTAATTCAACAAGCACATAAATAATAATTGTGTAAGTGCTTATCAATGGTACAAAAAATTAATATGTGGTAAAATTTAAATATTCTAAATAATTATATAATTTTTTGAAAATTATTCTTTAGGAACAGGATTTCAATATGACGTGCTGTAATAAAAAATTATAAAATTAAAAAGTAGCTCATAAAATTATATTTGTGCCAGCCCTCAACTACAAAAAAATAATATTTTCTTATCACAAAATTTTATAATGAAACTATATATATAGTTGAGTTATATATATATATATATATGACGTTAGAGTCCTTAGTATCCTACACTTGATATGCAAGAAAGACATTTTTAAATGGGCTATTTCAAGTTAAGAACACTGATTTTGATATTTGTACCATAGATGAGTCTTGAGATTAAACTCGTTATAACATTTGTGCAACTGTGAAGCCTGTACACCAACTATTTTAAGACAACTCCTTACTATATAATATGTAGTAATGACAACTCAATATACGGTAAGTAGTAATGATGCTTTTCAAATTAATAATTCTATGATGTCACAGATGAAAAATGACTAATTAGAGGTAGAATTTTCCAGTCCTTTTCTCAAACAGATTCTAAGACATTATATTTCTATGTAGTCCGAGATTATTCGAAGTAAGGGATATCCAATAGAAGAATACAGTGTACAAACATCCGATGGCTACATCTTAGGTGTACAGCGTATTCCTAATGGAATAAAATCCTTTAAAGATCCAAGACAAGTAGTATTTCTACAACATGGACTACTGAGTTCATCTACTGATTGGGTTGTTAACCCACCCACTGAAAGTCTAGGTAGTTCACTCTTATTTGTGGCTTTGTTTAATTATATCACCATTAGATTGTTTGTAAGTCTGTGTCAGAGTAGGTAGCTTGAGTTAATAATACTGAACGATATCAGTGTAAATAGATAAGTATAAAAAACAAACATCGGTATTAAAACCACCTCTATACTATTCATGTGTTATTAACATCTACTTTTGTAAGTGAAGTGGAAAATATGGCAATCCATGTTTTTGCAGTAAATTTGGTGTTATTTTGTTTAAGGATAAACATTTACCGATGTTATTACACTATATAATGCAAGATTTCACAAGATGCGTTATTCATGCAACCTTGAAGTTCATATGACAGAAGTTTTTATTAATTTAAACGTGTAAGGCTTACTAAACCTATATAAAAAACAATTTATTCTGAAAAAACTAAGTTATTAAAACAAAATTATTTTTTATGTTTTCTAAATACAATACTACAAAATTTATTTTTAATTTTTGTGCAAACAACAATATTTCTAAAAGTTTTATGTGCACGCAAATTAAACACCCAGTATATTTATGGAATTAACGAAAACTTACTTGGAAATAGTTTTTCACCAACTTTTTTGTTCAATCAAACTTTACTCAAGATGTGTTTACTTGCATTTATTTCATGTTTAATTTACGTTTTAACCATACCTTGGAGAAAACCTCTCACCCCCAGTTTTTACTTTTCTATTAGTTTTTGTACAATGATAATTATTATTTACCAAAATACGATTTTTAGTTACTTTAGTTTCAGTTTTTTTTTCCTCATGAATTCTAATACTTTATTACCTCCTGAAGGCATATAACGCTAAACAACGAGTTTGGATACAAACCCAATATTTAGCGTTGTAAGCACGGCACACATAATACATTATGTAACTTCATGATGAACAACAAAACAAACGAACGAAATAACTAACTAATAATTTATGTTATGGTTTAAACGCTAAAAGCTTGCGAAGCATCAGAAACCAATAGGTCTACAAGTAGAGATAAAATCATGTAAACTGCAAGTTTTTCCCCATACTTTTCTTAATTCGTTAATTTTGGATGAAACAATAAGAGCATTGTAAAAATAGCATCTCAGATCCATCTTTCGTCTCCCACAATCACTGCCTAAAAGGCCTTTCATTCAATACCATAATTCGTCAGTCGAGCTGGACGACGAGAAACAAAAGATTATAAGATTATATGAAACGCTATTTACATATGCAGCAGAATACTTTGAAAGTTTCACTTCAAATGCCGAAAGCTGGTGAAGCATTAGAAACCAATAGGGCTAAAATTTATGATAAAAATAACATAAATTGCAGTTGTTTTTCACATCACTCTTAATTCATCCATTTCAGATTAAAAATCAGAGGCATATAAAAATAAAATTTCAGATTACGTTTTGTCTTTCACGAGTTCTGGTAATCGTACGAACGATCTCATGAAATAAAATAAAGTTTTTATTTAGACATGTTAGCTTATCTATTATAGCTTTTTAGCTGCATTTTTCATGTCCAACTACATAGTCGCACAAGGAAACTGTGGTTAAACTAATAAACTAATGTACTTTTTTTATGATGAGACAATGATGTTTTGTTGTGACTAGAGCATATACAGACGGATATTGTTATGATATAAAGTTTTACTGAATTTTTACATCTACAGTGAATAGCTTACCACATTTCTGAATATATCAGGATCTACTTGTGATGAAAACTTGTTGGCAGAATGTAAACCAAAACTGGCATTTAACAAAGTTATCAGAAGTAGGAGGGAAAACATATTACTGCTTCTTGCAATTCTCCTCACCGTATCACTGTCGACTATTGAAATGAAAACAGGTGTTATTGGTAAAACGCTTTCCTTATAGTGACATCTAGTGTACTATATAATTTTAAATGCATAATTAAAAATCTTTATTTCTGCTTGATGTTTATCATTGCTATTAATTTCCTTAGATTTCAGTTAAAAAAAAAGAATAAAAAATACATATGTTTATCAATGATAATGGTGCAAAATCGGGTGACGTCAAAGACGGCCCAGAATTATATGTGATATAATTACGCTAAATAGAACAGACTATATATCTCAGCGAAACCATCTTGGAATACTTTAATTTTTTTTAGTATTTTGCGCACATTTCTGAATCAAAATGGACGTAAATTTCGATATCAAAAGAAATTCAAACGTATCAGTTTGAACCAATCAGAGGATCTGAAGAAAATAATTACAGGTATATGTTACCGTCGAGGCAGAACATCCTTCGATAAATTAGAAAGGACTCTAAGATGATTTAACATTTTTCGCTGCATGAACATTACAAACACGTGCAAGCGTTACGAAAATAGCGAATAAATAATTATATTTTTTTGTTAATAAATATTTTTAAATTGTATTATCTGATTTATCATAAACAACAGGCAAATGAAACATCAAATTTCTTACTTCAACAATGTATCGTTTTTCGTGAGCCCCCTCAGTCACGGCGATTTTGGTTAAAATTTTCGGTTTGTACCGTTTGACAGCCAGCAATTTACCCTAAGACATATTATTGCTATTACAACTGATTTGACTTTAATTTTAGCACCATTGTATCCACTTTCTGTCATTTTTATGGAATCACAATCCAAACATGTTCCTCTATCCCGTGGGTCATCGGTCAGTTTACAGACTTACAACGCTAAAATCTGGAATTCGATTCCCCGCGGTCTACCTAGCGCATATAGCTTATTGTGTATATTTGTGCTAAAACAACATTAACAAATGTAAGGAGTAGAGTCGAACTGTGTTTCGTTATATTTGATACAAACGGTACTGTTCAAGTTATGAATTCAAGCCTTTCTTGTTCCTCGATCTTCAGAAAATAAAACATGTGATGTACCAGTTCTATTATTAAAAACAAACTCCACACAGGAAACCATTTTCGCAACACAAAGAGACATTATCGATGGACACAAGAAAAATCGGTAAACCTATTGACAATCCCATATTAATTCAGCTCATATATTTGTGTGTATGTATGTCTAACTACCTCCTCGCGTATTTCTGGAGCTAGCAGGACCATACCTGTTAGGGGAATTCGGGATGGCCCGAGTGCGTGTGTGTTTTACTTATATAGCGTAGTACTCCTCCTACCAATGGAGTATCATGGGAAACTAAAACGTCCCCAGAGATTCTCTCAAGCGAGATGGGGGGGTCTAAAAGTAGGTTTTCAGACTCGCTGAACCAGAATCTGGCATTAGGTTTTTGGTTCTTCGTCTAATTTGTAATACCTGACGCACAATGTTTAAAACTGTGTTCACCCCCCCCCCCCTCAAAAGCTAGCTGGACCAGACTTGACACAAGTGCTTCAGATACTACGGACGGATGTCCTTATATATTTTTTCACGTACCGACCCCCCCCCCCCCATCCCCCTCTTGAAGTAGTTATAGAAGTAATTGGAGATAATGGAGAAGCTTGATCGGTACATTGTGGCCTCTGTGAATCATGAGAAGATCTTGGAACCCCGCACAAAGAGCAGGTATTTTATACTAATAGAAATAATCATACCACGAAATTTACCAGTTATACTGTTTTGTGGTACCTGATGCTACTCTTAAAGCTACGAAAGCGCTATCAACCTACGGAAATCAGAAATATAAATAGAAAGATACGATTATGTCAGACCGAGGGGTGACTAACCCGGTGTAACAGTTTGACCATTAACATATGTAGTTCTCACAAGCTGTATGAAACATATGGAAAAACATCAATGTGTTATTCACATACATAAGCAGATATCTACTATTGCAACTATCTTAATTGAAGTTTCATCTTCTGCTTAAGAGAGAGGATGGTATAATACATGCAATAAATATAGTCCATCTTGAGTGCTAAAAGCTGTGTTATATCTGCTTTCACCACCTAGTTCTACCGGCAAAGTCTAATATATTGAGCTGACATTATCCTTACAGTGCATTTAGATATTTTTTGTTAATTGAAAGAGGAAAGCACCGATTCTGTTATGGCATTTTCTCACGTAAAACCAATATATAACCATGGTGTTCCTTCTTTTTTTCCTTCACAATCGCTATTAGGGATGACTAAGAACTCTGTTGGTGATATAACAGAATATCCTACAAAATTTGTATTGTATTTTAGAGACTAGTAACATCTCTAGTATTCCAAGGAGGCTTGGGTAGTGGTTGGTTTAATAAACACACGTCACCTGGGTCTTTGTGATCACTAGTTAAGTGTGTCCTAATCAATGGCCATCTGGTCCCACAAATACATCTGCAACCTGTACTAGAGACTTACTTAATTCCTATCTTTGCTCTGAATCGTGATTATCGGCATAATCATTGACCATTGATTTTATGTTTGCAGTTTCATAAAATATCCGTTGTGTATTATGTAGATTAATAATTTGCTCCTGTACATGCAATCTTGAGTCTACTATTTCAGTTCTGTTTTCCCAGCGATGGATGGTTTTCCTGGAAAGCTACGACTCACATGTTACAAAGGCCATAATAGCAGATATCTTCTGCACGAGGTCCATCCCTAAGAAGTCAGTGCTTGAGTCAAGATCTGAGAAAACATCCATTATTAGTGAAGTTCAGGACAAATGAAAAGACAGGTTTGCATATTTTCAGCTAACGTGAGACTGTCTTGCTTTTGACTATCAGTAAACTTTTTCATCTGTTACGGAAGGATGTACAGGTTCTTCTCCAGAACCCAGACTGTTTGTAATTTAATCAGATGAGTCATAATTCTTATGGCCTGGCATAGCCTGGTGGTTAGGGAACTCGACTCGCAATCTGTGGGTCACGAGTTCGAATCCCTTCATCGAATATGTTCTCCCTTTTAGCAGTGGAGGTGTTATAATGTGACTGTCAAGCCCGTTTTTATTTGGTAAAAGACTAGCCCACGTGTTGACGGTGAGTGGTTTTGATTAATCATCTTCACTCCAGTCCATCATTTCTAAATCAGGGACAGCTAGCACAGATAACCCTTGAGTATCTTTGCGCAAAATTCAACCAACAAACAAATCACACGCTTACTCAGAGGCCTGTCTAGAGGTACATTTCTTTCATGGCAGTTATGTAAGAATGGAAACAGGTTAAGCCTATCCATTAGGTGCAAGTACGACTGTAAGATAGCAATGGTCAACAATGGAGATTTGGGTCAATTACAAGCCCTTTGAGATGCTGACATATTTCAAGAACATGCAGTCAGAAGATGAATCGCTTCAGCTCTTGTTTTACATAGCTGACACGAACAATTTTCTCCTGTCGTGCAGCATGGGCACGTTTGGAAAGCCCTCTATAAACTTGTTGATTAGGATATCGTCACAGACCTTTCCTGTCATTCCATGACATGCTTTTCTACGCAGGCCACACAGTTCATCCCTGTATTTTTCAAAGGAAAACTGCCTTAGAGTTTTGAAACTGACCAATTTATTACTTAAATCATATCAGGGATTCAACTCTACAACGATATTCTTCCAATAAGATTTTGTTTTCATCCAAATGTTACACACTGTTAAATAATGGGCCATCCAAACTCATAAGAATACGTTGGGTAGCTTGGGCCCGGGTTTATTGCATTAGGAAAATTAATGAATCTGCCCAGATACTCACTAGCTGTACCTTTCATCGGGAAGGTCTACTTTACATTTCTTCCACTAGAATCTAGCAGCAAATAGAGAGGCCTGTAGTTAGTATCTCGACTGTCCAGTGGCTGAAATCCAATATTAACGAAAGAATCGTCTATTTTTTTTATTACAAAATCACGGTGAACTTATCATCCATCAGGTTGCTGATATCAACCTTAACCTATCAGTAGACTCCTGGTTTCAGCATATTTTTTAAGTATTAAATTCTATATGTTCTTTTAGGGCACTGACAAGTTTTACAGATTGCCTTTCAGAAGTGTATAGAAACCTAACTAAAGCCCTTTGAAGCAAATGCACTTTAAGTAAACATACATGCGTTTGACCATTGATTCAATCATTGTTTTATAATGTCCTATGTTAACAGAAAGAGACAAAGTAGCGACTTTTTAAAGAAATATAATAAAACCTCGTTATTGTTCAAAATGTTAAACAATAGCATATTGTTAAACGTAACTATTATTTAGAACGTGTATCTTCTAATGACCTCGAGCTGAATCGAATACGTTAAATATATTTTCGGTATGGATAAATTTAATTCAAACACATTACATGAAGGTTGCAAGTTTTCAGAAATTTACTACTGATACAGACTGAAAGATTTTAAAATACATATTTTCAAGCATTGGTAGTAATTTATCTCTGTGCTAAATCTAAGTTTACAGTGAGGTTCCTAAGGGTGCAGACTGTTTTTAGAGCTTTCTTTTCCTTCTTGCAAATAAACTTTTTCTACAAAACTAGGTTTTGGCTGAATTAGAAAAATATTACACATTTCCACTCACCCACCCACCATAAAGAAATCATGAATAAAATCAAACTGGATTTTCATATCTTTTTTTGTTTATTTGCTATCAAGCACAAAGCTACACAATGAGCTATCTATGCTCTCCCCGCCACAGGTATCGAAACCAAGTTTTCAGCGTTATAAGCCTTCAGACTTACCTTGAGCCATTAGTGTGATTTCATAGCTTTAGCCATTTATTTATAACAATATTTTATTAACGATGAAGACTGTATTAATAAATAAACTAAACTATTTAAATTCAGAAACTAAGAGGTTAAATACAAAGTTTTCCTAAAAAAAGAATAGATACGAGGCTTGAAATGCATTATAAATGACACTTTGTTTCCATGAAATTTCTTCTCAACAGTCACATAAAAGTATTTAAGTTCATTCATAAAGTCACTTTGGTTCTAACTTAGTACACCTACATCATTAATTGAAGTGACTAGTCGTTATAAGTTTAATGGTACCGTCTATTGAACAAGTTATGGATTTCGGACCACTAGAGATTTGTTGTAAAGTGCACGTGCACTCTGAGTTTTGAAAATATCTTGGATATTTTAGTAAGATATTCCAAAAATATTCGTTTACGCACAAATAATTCATAAATCAGAAATTTATATGATAGAACCTGTAATGGTTAAAGTATCATACACGTACATTAAAATATGCACTGAATTGAGCAAGTGTATTTATCTACAGAAGTTTGGTAAGTTATGTGAAAACGATTTTTAAAATGTAAATCGGCAAGTCTCGTAACAACCACAGCCGATATAAATTTGCTGTGAAACGGAAATGTATTACAACCACGTTTTATCATTGTTTGGTGTTTTGTAGGTAGTCATACTATTAAAAGTTGATCGCTTTTGAGAAGGGTATATTCCTTGTACTTAATATAGCTGGAAACAAAAGAATATTGATCAGTTTTGTGTACCAGGACCACCCAGAAGGAGATCTGCAATAAGTTCTACCAAAGACGTGGTAAGCACAGTACGGTGTATTGAACAAGTGAGAATCCATGAATACCAGGATCAGTGGGTATGACCCAGGTAATAAATATGCAACATAATCATGGAAAGTCCGTGTGAAAAAGTGACACGAGTCACACCCACACAAGCTACTTTCACAGCATATCTGCTCAACATTTGCATACCACAAGCAGGTAGAGGATGAAACAGGTATTCAAGCTATTATATACGAATACATGCTGGTCCACTCCTCAGATGTAGTGTTTATGGATTTCTGTGTGGTTGGACTGTTGAAATGGGTGCTAAAAACCGTATCTCTCATACACTAGAAGTATTATGAAAAGACAGCAGAGATGAAGGGAGTGCTTTGAACATGACAGCCTTACGACAGAGCCTTTTCCAATGGAAACTACACTGTAAAGCTAATGTGAAGATGCACGGTCGTCAGGGAGAGTATGATCAAACGTGGTGACTAGGACTGCATCGACGTGGTGAGGCTTCAAACTTTTTTTTAAATAAGGTACTCAACCTATGTCACATTATCGCTGAACAAACACTAGAGTAGCCGTTAGATATGTTAAAACCCTTAAATTTTAACTAAAATATTTATGTTCAGTCATAAAATCAGTTTATCAGAACTACATCATTAATTGAAGAGAATAGTCATTAAGAGCGTCAAGGTACCATTAATGGCACTTTCAAGAATTACAAAATGCCGTCTTTGTTTTACAGATTAGTAGCGTAAATAACTAAACTGTCCAATTTTCTAAACTGTCCAATACATAATACGTACATAGTACACGTACATAGGTATTGAGACAGTACAACTTGAAAAAGGTCTTCTTAAGACTCATTTTAGTAGGTTAGAATCCACTTTTAGCGTTAATGACAGCTTGGATTCTCTCATCAACACTTTCTACCAATCAGTATCATACATTAGGTGGAATAGACCACTACACTTTGTACATAGCATCTACAAAAGTAGTGAGATTTTAAGAACTATTTTTATGTTCATGAGATGTGTTCCTGAACATCCCAAAACAGTTGAATTGGATTCAGGCCAAATCTCTGTACTGATCAAGGCAGATTTTGGACATTAACTGTGTCAAACCACATCTGCACATAGCGATGGTATGGTACCACTATACATAGTTGTGGTATGGCACTAGTGTTCATATCATGTATTATTATTATACTAATGTACATGCTATATAGTTA